TTATAATAAATCAGAATTGAAAATAAGAAAATAAAATATCAGATAACCTTGTAAAAACATCAAAATGCATAATAAATCAGTAACTCGTCATTTACTAATTTGTTATTGATCTTAGTTTCTTAGCTTTATATAATGGTTGGGAATAAGATAATAGTCTAGAAATATGTATTAATGCTTCTTTCATCATTTTACAAAATATCATTGCATATTTCCATATATTTCATAATATTTCCACAATGTCTCTAATTTTTACAATATTTCCCCTCGACATTTCCAACATTTCCGACATATGTCCTATATTTTGGTAAGCGACATTTCCATCTACATCAACATTTTAAACCTTGAGTAAAACCTGATGGTATTCATTTTTGCAACTAGTGCGAAGGTCTAAGTAATCAATACCATAAGTTTGAGTATATCCCATTGCCACCAACCAGTCTAGCTTTATACCCTTCAACTATACCATCTGTAATCATTCATGGAGAGTGGGAGAGAGAGAGAGAGAAAGAGAAGAAAAGGGAGATACGGTTGAGAGGGAAAAAACAGATATTGTTGGCTGCCGTCAGTTTTCTATTTATATTAACTTAATAAAAAGAATAGAAATTACAAGTATGCCCCTGGTGGCATACCCGAGAACCAAACTAATAAGAAAAAAAAGGACAAGTAACTAACTGATAGTATCTTAAGAAGTCAGCCTACTAACAGCAACTATAAAGTAACAATTAAATAAGCCTTACAACACTCCCCCACAAGTTGGGCTGAATATGTCTATCATGCCCAGCTTGTCACATAACTCATTGTGCCGCGAGTATGGAAGCCCCTTTGTGAGGACATCAGAAAGTTGTTCCATGGAGTTGACATAAGGGATGCAAATTTCCCTTTTTTCCAATTTTTCTCTTATAAAGTGTTTGTCCACCTCAATGTGCTTGGTCCTCTCATGTAGGATAGGACTGCTGGCGATGTTTATTGCAGCCTTGTTGTCATAGTAAAGAGAGATAGGACTATGAACAACAACTCCAAGCTTCCCTAGAAGATTCTTTAGCCAAAGGACTTCAGCCACCCCATGTGCCATAGCTCTATATTYAGCTTCAGCGCTTGACCTTGCTACCACACTTTGTTTCTTGCTTTTCCAGGTCACTAGATTTCCTCCCACAAATGTGCAATACCCACTTGTAGACTTTCTGTCATCCAYARCTCCTRCCCAATCAGMATCTGTAAAGACTTCCACCTTTAGGTGATTGTGTTTACTGAATAGTAGACCTGTTCCGAGATATTTCTTCAAGTATCTAAGAACTCTCTATGCTGCCTCCATGTGTGGTTTCTTAGGAGAGTGCATGAACTGGCTTAGGATCCCAACGGAATAGGCAATGTCTGGACAGGTCATGGACAAATAAATCAGCTTTCCCACTAACCTTTGGAACTGTTTCACATTTTTCATAGGCTTACCAACACAGTCACCTAACTTGTGGTCAACATCCATGGGAGTATCTGTCGGCCTTGCACCTAATTTGCCTGTATCTTGTAATAGATCAATGGTGTATTTCCTTTGAGAGATAAAGATACCCTTTTCTGAGCGGACAACTTCAATCCCAAGGAAATACTTCAGGGGACCTAKATCTTTCACTTCAAATTTAGATGCAAGGAATTGTTTTAAATTTTGTATCTCTGAGCTCCAACTTCCTGTAATGATGATATCATCCACATACACTATCAATACAGCAACCTGTTCTTGACATCTCTTCACAAAAAGTGTATGATCAGACTGACATTGTTTGAAGCCCATCTGTTGAACCGCCATGTGAAACTTACTGAACTAGGCTCTGTGAGACTGTTTTAAGCCATAAAAAGACTTTCGCAGTTTGCACACCT